ATGAGACCGTTCAATTACTGACAAAAAGAGATTCAGTCAGCTGAAATTACATCTCATAAAGTCTGTCACAACTCCAGAGAAAACTAATCATGTATCAGAAGGCTGACTCAAGCAAAAACGCCTTTCCCCTGCTCCGTTCTGTCCGATCCAGTTTTACCTGCTGGGAAATTTTCCCCGTGCTGTTAACGGTTTCTTGTCAAACCAGGGTGTGCTTTTTGTGATGTAGATGAAATCTGAAAATGATATAAAAGATACATCCTTCAGATCAGAATAGAGCGTTAAAAGAAACCTAAACTATGCACGTAAAAGAAATGGAAATCAGCACCAGAAACCAGGGAAAATCATATGATGTGTTTAGGGAAAGTGACAGTAATGCACATGCTGATCTCAAAGCTGAGGAAAGGGCCTTTAAATGCTTTCTGAATGGGTTCATGGTCCCTTCTTGCACGTTTACAGGTTTAGCTTCCTGTGTTTGTGAGCAGAGGGAGCTCGTAGTCTGGGAGCGTTTCCTCCTGAAGTCAGTCTGAGCTCCTCGACACGTAAAGCTAAAAAGCATCGCGAGGGTGTGCCTCAGACGTTTCAGTTATAAAAATGATCAGGTTTTCTGCCCTTCACCGTTTCTGTGTGACATCTGTCACATCCGGCCACGCTGTGAATTTAATTAAAAGCGTCTCTAATTATAAAACTTGTCCTGAGCATCGTTGCACTTCTTATCATAAATCGAGCTGCAGCTCAGCTGTAACAAAACTATTTATGACACAAATGACGTCGCTTTCAAATGAAGGTGAGGATGTCTCTCTCTCTTTTTACCTGCTGCCTCGCCACCTCACAGCTCTGCTAGGAGGTGCTAAGACATGAGGAAATGAGACAGGTGCTTGGCGTTGTCCCGGCGGGATGACTGACGGTGCTTCTGGAGAGTCGTTTGTGTCGCTGAGTTTGTGAAAGTCGATTAAATTAAAAGCACAACCGGCACAGTTCTGCTGATATGACAGTTCATTATATACAAGTAAATGATCTGAATATTGTTGCTTTTCTCTTTAGCGTTACAGCGACAACACTGGACTAAATTCAGTTTTTTCAGGGCCTCTGGCCTGCAGGAGTCACAGCAGTACCACACATCAGTGCCGTGCACCTGAACTCTATTTTATAACGTACTGTAAACGTCACACTCTTGTTTCTCCTCCAATCAGAATCAGTATTAACTAGAAAAATTTGCATTTCCTGCGAAAATGCTGTGTGGATGCCTTAACGCTGAAGATGTCTGCTGAAAAAAGCTGAAAAAGTTGCAAAAAGTTGTATGGCGGTGAAGAAACTGAAAATTCTGCTGAAAACAGGTGAAGAAGCAGGAATTTTTTGCTGAAAAGTGGTGAACAGCAATAAATTCTACTGAAAAGGGATAGAGAAGCTGAAATTTGTACTGAAAATAAATTTTGCCATGAGCAGGATTCAAACCCGGCCCTCCTGTTCTGAAGGCGGCTGGTCATCTCACTGAGCCAAACTCATTCTCTCAAGAAAAGAGATGGAGAGACTTACAATTCTGCTGAAATGAGCAGAAGCTGCTGAGAATTATGCTGGTAAGAGGTGAAATGGTTGAAAATTTCTGCTGAAAAGAGGTTTTTGCTGAAAACATCTGAAAGAACTGGAATTTGTGCTGAAAATGGGTGAACAAGCTAAAATCTGTGCCGAAAAGAGTTAAAAAAGTTCAACTGTGAACTGAAAATATTGTTGCCATAAGCGGGATTTGAACCCCGGCCTCCCACTCTGAGAACGGCTGCTCATCTCACTGAGCTAAAACACAGCTCAACTGGGCAAGGGAAACTAGTGATCCCACTGATAATGTGGCAGAAATGGGCAAAAATATTGTATAAAAAATTCAATATCTCAAAAAGTATAGAAGTTATGAGCACCAAAAGTCATAGCAATAATTAGTTTAATAAGTTTGAACGGTGCAAATAGCATGGAAACTGAGGGAGTAGTTAAGCGGCAAAAAACGTACGGAAGCAACCAGAATAATAAAGAATAAAGAGAAACAGGAACTCAATAGTGTGGCCTTTGAGGGCATCCACACAATGAGCAGTGTATGACCTATGCCGACGTCTTCAGAGGGGTGTAACTACAAAGCGTAGCAGGAGAACAGGTGTGAGCACAGTTTTAAAGATGCTTTGCAGCAGGTTGGGATCAGTGAGCAGGTAAAATCAGGGGCACCTTTGTGGCACTTTAGCCCACTAACCTTGTAGTTGCGCTCAGATGAATGTCTAAGGGTTGTTTAGGTCCAGATCTTCCCCTTTGTGTAATTTTTACCTGTGTGAAATATCCAAATGGAAAGGCCAGCTTGCTGAGCTTGTTGAGCTTGTAGAGATGCAGTCTAACCCGTTTCTGAGACTGTGCTGGTCTACATGAACTGAAGCCAGTAGCCTTTCACACTTCTTTGCTCGCCCAGTGAGGTCGGAGTCTTCACCTTGACCCCAATCCTCGGGGGCTGTCGTGAAACCTCTTCGCCGTCTCGTTGGTCATCAGAGATACTGCAGCTAAAGAGCCGTCAATTTCACCCTTTTTATGACCACGCTGCTCATTTTAATTCAGAGGTCGAGAGTCTTGTCATATATGCGCACACCGAGCCACCTCGTGGGTTGCCTCAATCAAACCCAGATCAATCCCCCGTTAATCTTTGTCATCAGTGCGACCCGTTTATCCATTTCAGCATCTACGGACGTCCCGGGAATACATCGATCATCGCTTCCCCTACCTCCAAATTAAACTCTGTCGTGAATTATCGCAGAGGGACAACAGAGCTGGCAAATTGTTTACATCTAATCAATATTCCAAGTAATCAATGCAAATTATCTGTATGCAGCGTGTGGAAAGACAGAGTGAGCTGAGAGACTGTTTTCACAGCGTAGCCTTTTTAATGGGAAGAGCTTTCAAACGGAATTGTCCAACTAGTCATTCAATGGCAGAATAATTTAGTACAAAAAGGACAGCGGTACAACCGTTCCAGTGAGTCCAAAGACCGTAGATGGTTGCCAGGCAGCGAGCTGTCTAGGGAGGTAAAACCTCTTGTGGACTTCAGACGGATTGATTTATCAATTCAAGGCTAAGTGGAGCAGTAGAAAAGTGACAGTGACCAAAAATCTCATCCATAAACATCAGTCGGGGTGGGATCGGGAGAAAATATTTTCCCGGCAGAAATGAGTTAAATCAGAATGAAGAAAGGGGGGATTTTGCTTTTGTTTAAGGTACCACTTGGTTTTATTATTACAATGCACACTCCAAAAGCAAAAAATAAAAGCCTTGGCATCTGCACACCCGACAACATCACGACCGTACGAGTCACTCGAGCCTGCGTCGACCCGTTGCTGGGTCGACCGCAGCGTACATTATTATTGCAAAGGGTCACTTTCAGTTGAACTCATCATCAAACAGAAGGACATAAAGAAATAAAAGTTGTGAATACATAAAATATGGATCATTCAATTCTCGAATAGTGGGAAATACACTTTAAATGCAAACACACACAGAGTAAAATAAAACGTTAAAACATGTGACCCATGACAAAAAAATCAAAGTACATAACTGAACCAATAATTGAACTTCTAAGCTAAGATTTTACAAATCACAGAAGACTAATCTTGAATCGTTTTCTCGTTTTAATCGTTAATCAATTTGAGGCTGTATCAAAAACTCTCGTAAAAAGAAAATTAAAACGTGATCTTATCGTTTCGGTGACTAATCGCATCCGCGTCTCGGCCTCCGTCGTCTCCTCCGTGAAATCGAAAATGGGATTATCTGTACAGTCCTGCGTGGGGTTGCCACGCGGCGTTCCTCGTCCGAGCGGAGAGAAGAACTGCCTCGTTACATAAAAAAATAATTCTCCCTGGTCCAAAATAAATTGCAGGGATGTTCTTCCTGTTACTATACAACGTGGAGGTGTGTACAAAAGGGCAAGAGTTGTGTTGCTACATTTAATAATTGATCTCCAAATCTCGTCAAACTGTCAACTAAATTTCCTTGTTGCTTCCATCTGATTGAGTCTGTCGGCTGTACTGAAGGGAGGACGGTTCATGTTTGAATTGTGATATCGGTGTTTCATATATATATAAGAACAGGAATAGAAAGCTCCTGCAGGTTATTTTAGTGAGGCAGTCCCTTTCTTCCACATTTCTTCGACCTCCAAAAAAATATAACAATCTATCATAATGTCTTCCAGATATACAGTGAAACTCAAAACCAACGAAACAAAAATTATTATTCTTCTCTAAATCTTTTTAGGCTACCTTGTTATTCTCATCTTTACTACACATTGTGAATAAGGATAAAAACAGACAACTAGTGTTAAAAGGCAAACCGTATTGAATCTGAATAAACACGCCCGCTCATTCAAACACACTCACGCACACACTTCGGCCTCCTATTGTCTTGTGTCGTCTGCAGGGCTGAATTGAGATCTTCGCGATAGCTTTTCTCATATTCGAAGGATCTGTCTCCCTTTATTAAAAATGCGAGCTGTCGCCTGCAGCGGTCTGATGACAGGACGCCGTCTTCTCGCATTATTTAAAAGCCAGGCAGAAGAAGAGTTAGGCAAACACTTCAGTCCAGAGGAAAAAGAAAAAAGAATCTTGGGCTAAAAGGTGAAAAATAATCCAGTATCCAAACTCGGGAGAAAAGAAAATGCTGGGACGGGAGCGCACGTCTCCCAGTTGTTGCTTCAGACCAGCTGGTCGAACCCAAAGCCAGCGTGATGAGAATTTGCTCGTCTTAGGCCACTGTAGTAGGTGGGCTACCACGAAAACAGTAGTCCCTCCCTGTGCACTGTAAAGCCCACCCAAATCATTGCGCCCCGACCCATCCCAAACCAAAGTCGCTTGAAGCCTTTTTGTACTATAGCACCTCTTGTCATCACTCCCTGCAAATGTCCAGACAGACGAACACCAGAAAGGAAACTGTCAGAGTTCCTCAGGCATCCTCACCCTCCGCCCTATCAGGGGAGGGTTAATCAAGTCTTAGGGCGGCACATAAGGAGGTGGAGATCTGTAGGGAGTTATGTTCTTCGGACGGGAGCCCTTGCCCTCCATAGGAGTGGTGAAGGGAGGAGGCGGTTGGTAGGGAGGCGCGTTGGGGTCGTCATCTTGCAGAGCCGTGTACTCCCCCAGCAGCTCCTGATTTAGGGGAGTGGTTTCTGGCGTGGCCATGTTGGGGTATTCAGGGGGTGGAAGTGGGGGCTTCTCTTCCTGGAGAATCAAGGGCATACTGGAGGACGGAGGTGGCTTGGAATCATCAAGTTCGTCTGCAAAGATACCCGTTTATCCATTTCAGCATCTACGGACGTCCCGGGAATACATCGATCATCGCTTCCCCTACCTCCAAATTAAACTCTGTCGTGAATTATCTCAGAGGGACAACAGAGCTGGCAAATTGTTTACATCTAATCAATATTCCAAGTAATCAATGCAAATTATCTGTATGCAGCGTGTGGAAAGACAGAG